GAGAAAAAATGGCTAAAATTTGAAATAGATAAAATTGATAAGAATAAAGGATAAAAACAGGAAGAAAAGAGTATTAAGGAAGAACAGACAGAATTGAGAAATAGTAAAAAGTATAAAAAAAAGAATAATAACAACCCTAGTATAAGGAACTATAAAACCTAAAAACTAAAGTAAGTAGAACTCGGATCGATGGGAGCTTATAAATACATCAACGCCCTTAATAGAAAGAAACAAAGTGATGTCTTGAGATTCCTTAGACGTATTAGATGCTGGGAATTAAGACATCTCCCAAGAATTCACCGTGTTGCACGCCCAACTAACCCAGAAAGAGCTAGAAGATTAGGATATAAACCAAAATCTGGATTTGTTATTTACTCAGTTAGAATTCACAGAGGAAACAGAAAGGTTAGTGCTAGAAAAGGTATTGTTCACAGAAAACCAGCTTGCCAAGGTATTCATAAGATTAAGAGAGTTAAATCACTTCAAGCCATTGCAGAACAAAGAGTTGGAAAACACTGTGGAGCTCTTAGAGTTCTCAATTCCTACTTCATTGGACAAGATTCAACTTACAGATTCTTTGAAGTTATTCTTGTTGATCCATTTAATGCTGCCATTAGAAACGATCCAAAGATGAATTGGATTTGTGCTGATAAACAAAAGAGAAGAGAAGCTAGAGGACTTACTTCAGCTGCTAAGAAGTCAAGAGGATTCACCGGTAAGGGAAGAAGATATAACAAGATTGGTGCTGGTGCTCGTGGTAATTTGAAGAGAAGAAACCTTCTTCAACTTAAGAGATACAGATCTTAAATCAATTGAATTTGGTTATGTGGAAAGTTTGTATTAATTTTTACGTTGTTCATCATGGCTCTTTCCAAGAACATGTTTGGGAATATTTTTTTGTCTTAAATAAAGCAAGATTAGTTAGCTCAGAAGAAATACCTATGTCATTGAAGTACTTTAATTTTTGTTGAGAAAATTTAAATCTGTGTAAACAAGTTGAAAGAAATAAGTGTTTTGGAATAGATGGTGCTTTTTCAAAGTTAGCTGATTTTAATAAAGATTTAAGTTTATTTGTTGAGTTAATTGATTGGCAACACAGAGTCTGCAATGTTGAGTGTGAGAGTTTGTAGCAATAAGTGATCATTCGATATACAAGCTCACTGTCACAACATATATTCATGTCACTATATTCTGGCATTGAATTGATATACATTGCACAGTAACAAGGTGTTGTTCGTTGAATAATCACAGAAGATGATTTAAAGTCTTGAGCAATTATTGTTCCATCTAATAGACATTGTTCCCACCCACCAACTACTGTTTGGGTTGACAAATATCCTTGAATATTTCTGTTGATTCCATTCAATAAAAGTTCACCATTTTTATTGCAACTTTTCAGTTTTATAGAACGGTTTTTTATTGAAAAAAATTGAGTGTCTTGCTTTATTCCAAATAATGGAAGTAACTTTCTGTTGTCATACCTTAAGACAGTTTGATGATAAGTTTCCTCATAAAAGAAAGTAGCATAGCTAGCGATTATTGATTTTCCTGTGTTTTGTGTCACGTATAATTGAATTGCTTCCAGCTCTCTGTCATTTATAACAGTTGGACTTCCTGCTGAGTCTGAAAAAAATAAAACATCTGGAGACACCTTTCTTATATCCTCATATCCAAATCCATCTTCTCGTAGTATAGAAACATTTATTTTATATCCACCATATTTTTGGGAGAGTTTCGATAATTTATTCCACAAATGAATTCCTCCAGGATGTTTTTTCAAAACCAGCACTTTAATAGAGTTCATTAGTCAAGTAAATGTAATTTTAAGATAAATTACCATCTTATAGTTGTGTCTTTTCAATTTCATTTTTCGTTCTTGCAATCATATCTGAAAAGTGAGATTACAAGTTCTTTAAAATATAAAACTGACTTTAAACTGGCAAAAAATAAAAAAAGAACTAAAAAGAGTAAAAGAACAATGGGAATTACTATTGGTATTGCTTTTGTTTTATCGTTTTGTCTTGTTGGTGCATTATACTTTATATTCCCAAAACTCATTAAACATTGGTTATTTTGGTATATCTTTTCAATGATTATTTTTGTCTTTTCAGTTGGAGGATTAGTGTATAATGTTATGCACCAACCTTCATCATTTGGATTTGATAGAAGTCATAATATTATTTATTTCAGTCCTGACGCACGAGGTCAATTTTATATGGAAGGTTATATTGGAAGTTTCTTATGTTTGTCAATTTTTTATAATTATTAAGAATAATTAGTTAATAAAAAACTAAGACTTTAATCTTCTTTTGTTAATAAAAGATTAATAAAAAAGTACTTATGAAACAGATGCAAGTGTAGGAATTGGGTTAGTATTATTTTTTGAATTAGGTAGAAAGAGTGTAGTTACTTTAGCAGTAGTCTTTGCTTTTTTGGTTTTAGTATTGTCTCTCTTCAATAATGCCATTCATACAAAAATTTCATGGGTAAACATTTCTTTCAATATCTTAGAGGCTTATGTGAATGCTTTCAAGGATCTTTTAAGTTTCTTTAATCATTGATTTGAACATTATTTGATTGTTTTTATTGTTGAATGCACATTAAAAAATAAATAAAACAAATAACAAAACACTTTTACTTAAGCATGTGGTTTTTGTTTTTTATTAGTCCAAAGACCCCAAAGAGAAACACCAGCAACACAAACAACTTTGAATCTAACACCTGGAATATCTCCGACAGCATGTCCTCTTCTACCGAAACCAGAAATTAAAACTTCATCGTTTTCATTGACATAGTTAAGTGAACCATCACGTGGAACAAAAGCAGTGATTTTTTTACCATTCTTCAATAATCTAACTCTGACACACTTTCTAATACCTGAGTTTGGTTGTTTGGTTTCAATACCAAGTTTTTCTTGAACAAGTCCTTTGGCATGTGAAGCAGTTCCAAGTGGATTACACTTATATCTGGTAACAAGCTTTCCTTTTTTCCATTCTTTATCAGCCCATTTATTAGCTCTTCTTTGAGCAAGCATTTTACGAGCAGCATGAAGACCCCTAGCCATCACTACTTGAAAATTAAAGAAAGATCTAGGGTTCTTTTATTCAAAATTTATAAAATAAAAAACATTTTATTAGGGTTTTGTTTTTATTTTTGTTATTTAATAAATTATTTGTTATTAATACTTTTTAAAAGAATAACATTTAATTGATTAGAATTTTATTAAAAAGGATTTGTTAAAAAAAGAATCAACTCAAAATAAAAATAGTTTTTGTTATGAAAAAGATATTTGTTATTGGTATTACAGGTTCAATATGTTCAGGAAAGTCTCGGCTTTGTAAAGCCCTTCAAAGTAAAGGAATTAAAACAATTGATAGCGACACTATTGGTCATGATGTTATTCTTCAAGAAGATGTTAAGAAAGAAATTAAAGAAAGCTTTGGGGAAGAAGTATTTAATGAAGAAGGTCAGGTTGATAGAAAGCGATTAAGTGATGTTGTTTTCACAAATAAGAAACAACTTAAGAAGTTAAATGAAATTATGTGGAATTCAATAGAAAATAAAATTAAAGAGCAGATTCAACAGTTAGAAATTCAAGGAGAAAAAATTGTTGCAGTAGAAGCAGCACTATTAATTCGTACAAATTGGATGAGTTGGATGGATATGATTTGGGTTACAACTGTCTCACCTGAAATTGCCATTGCCCGTATGACAGCAGGAAGGGGTATGACAAGGGAAGAATGTATAAATAGAATGAAAAACCAACCGTCATCAAGAGAATATGCAAGATATGCAGATATTCTTTTTGATACTCGTTTTAATAGAGGGACATTAGAAAGAATTTTTAATAGAGAAATTAATGCTTTTTTAATTGACTTCAATGAAAATAAATTTTAAACAATAAATTAATTTATTATATGTTTATTTAATTTTATACGTTATTAGAATAAGATAACTCATTAAATGAAAACCTTTAAAGATAATTTTTTTTTTGTTTATTAATTTTCAGGTATTATATCTTCTTTTGAACGTACTTCTTTTTGTTTACCATTTCTTGGTGTTTGATTTTCAGATGTAGTAGTTTTTATAGATTGAGCAGTGATAATACTTTGTTTTTTTGCCTTTGGTGTTTTTGGGGAGTTTTGGTTTTCATTAAAAATAGGAGTATCACTTTTTATTTTAGTAGAAGATGGTGATGAATATAACTTAAATTTTCCATGTTTTTGTTGTTCTGTTGGAAGTAATTCTGGATTAAGAATGTCTTCTAATGGGTGTTTTTCATAAGGGTCAAGGTCACTAACATTATAGGTAGGAGAAGCACTTAATCTTTGCATACTTTGAGAAGTTAAATTTTTATGAAGTTTAATGTCTGCACTAGGACAAAGAGGATAAGCATTTTGTGTTTCAACTTTTATTTCTTGTGGACTTAAAACATTTGTAGGAATTAAAGAAGAAGATGAAGTAAAAGCACTTTTTGGAAAATCTCTTCTTGGACTTCTTAATGAAGGAGATTTTAGTGAAGGGGATGGACTATTTTTATTTTCTCTAGGACTTTTTGTTAATGTTCCTAAAAGTCCATTTGGATTAAAAGATAACTTTTTCTTACTCATAACTACACCGGCTTTGACGGGTGTTTGTGAATTATGAATAAATGAAGATATTGTTGGGGATTCAGAACGAGAACCCACAGACCCTTCAGCAGAAAATTCATCTTGATGACTATAAGTATCAAGAATAAGAGAAATCTCTTTAAATTGTGGACGTTCTTGTGGAATTTGATTCCAACATCTTTGAATTAATCCTTTATATGGACATTCTTGTGGAATTTCAAGTCGTTTTCCAGCACAAACAAAACGAAGAATAGAGTCTATATCTGGAAAATGTTGTTCATCATACAAACTTCCATTGTTCCATATTTCTAACATGCAAATAGCAAATGAATAAACGTCAGACTTTAATGTAATTTGTTCTGATTGATGGACTTCTGGAGCCATATATACAGGAGTTCCAATGTCTTTAATTCCAAGACCTTTTGAAGATTCTACAAAACATCTTGATGTACCAAAATCGCTAACTTTACATAACACAGAGTCATGTGGATTTAATGATACCATTAAAACATTATCAGTTTTAAGGTCAGAATGAAGAATATCATTAATATGTAAATATTCCATTCCTTTTGATATATCTTGACATATTCTAATTTTTACCTGTTCATTTAAATCCTCTCTCTTTTTAAGAATTTTTCTTAATGAACCTAATGGACAAAATTCAGTTAACAAACAAAGATGTTCTTTGTTAGTAACACAACCAATAAAACTAACAATATAAGGACATCTAATTTTTTCAAGAAGCTCTGCCTCTCTAGTAAACATAGTTACTAATTTATCTACATCACTTACTCCTTGTGTCTTTAATTGTTTTACTGCTACATCAACACTTCTCCAAGTTCCTTTATAAACAACTCCAAATGTACCTTCACCTATACTTGGTGGTTGTAATACAATTTCATCATAATCTAATTTTGTAGATAGACCTGAAGATATTTCAAATGTTAAGAAAGTGTAAAATTTATTAATGTTTTTGTTAGTCTTCTTTTTCTTTGATGATAAATTATTCGATACACCAGAATGAACTGTTGAAGAGTTTTTACTTGATGGATTTGATTTATTTTCAAATTCACCAGACTTTTGTGAATTTTGTAAGTTGTTTTCAACTAATTCAGGATTATTTATTTGAAGGTCTTTAATTACATCTTTTGCTTGTCCATACCTTAATGTTACAGGAATCTTACATCGAAGAACACAAGTGCATTTAACTAATAAATGAATTTCAATATCAATAGACTTATTCTTTTTAATAATACCTGTGGTTGGTTTGAATGCTAACTTATATTTTTCATTATCTTCTCCATGAAAAATAAAATGTAAATTTTCATCTCTTAGATTCGTTAATGTGACAAGTGTAACAACAGGATCATCTACATCAGGCATATCTCCACAATCGTCAAATGTAACTTTACATGGATTAAAAGAAAATAATGGATTACTTATTGTAGCATCTATAAATTGAGAATTAGAAGAGTCAAATGGAATAACTTGATTATCAAAAACTTGCATCTTAGATTCTATGAGGTCTAAATTCTCTAAGTCACTTTTAATTATTTTATTTAAACGACGGTACAATAGTCCAATGAAGAGTCCAGTAATGATTAAGAATATCCAATATAAGATAAATATTGTTAATACATATAATACCCAATATAACCATACAGGAATTTTTCTACATGAAATAGCACCATGTGGATACCAACCACTTTGACATTCACATTGATAACATCCATCACCTCCATCACAATCCTCTCCTTCATCTATTTCACCATTTCCACATAGTTTTGAAAGACAATAAGTTCTTAATTCAGTGTATGAAACATAACCATCACCACAAAGACAATTTGACCCACACCCTTTTCCTCCATCACATTCTTCTAAAGGATCAAGTATTCCATTTCCACAAGAAGGAGGTGCACACTCTGTTTTACCTGCAATTGAGAAAGAAGAATATCCTAATTTACAATAACAAGATGAAGAATCACATAAAGGGTCAGGGGATACTGACGGATCACAATCTTCTCCAACATCATATACTCCATTCCCACATAATGAACAAATACCAAAATTTAATGTATAACCAGGTTTACATGTACATGTTCCAGTGTGAATATCACAAACTCCATTTCCACCACAATTCATTGGACAAACAACTGATGCAGATATAGTATATTCAGAACCTAATGGTGATTGTTGGACTACGTGAATAAAATAATCATGAGTGTTGTCCATAGCTATTACAGTAGAAGCTAAGTTGTTATTGTTTGGACAACCAGTATAACTTGCTTGGAGGCATTTTGTATCAGTGACACAGTCGATAACAGTAATATCAGTTTCTGATCCATCAACATATTGTTTTTTATCAATTTGAAGAACGTATATAGAAGTTGGATAATCAGTAACTGAAGAGCAAGTATCAAATTTAATATTTAAATTAGCTCCTTCAACAAAAAACCATTGTCCTTTGGATTGAGAAGAAGTACAAGCAGATGATGTTTCTTGAGTGAAAGCTGAAAAAATTTTTTGAACAAACCCATTTGATATTGCAGAGATAGATATTTTAGTTGAGGTGACACCACAAGGATGAGTTATTTTAGTTAAATAAACTGTTGTGTCAAAAGAAAATCCTTTGTTATAAGGGGTAAAAACAAAAATATAATATATCCCTTTTGTAAATGAACGAATAATTCTTGAAGACTTAACTTTCTCTGAGACATCATTATTTTCTGTAATAATTTCATATGAAGAATCTGACACACAACTATCAGTAATAAAAAGAACAGTATCTTGGCCTGACACTTGGTTTTGATATGAGGCAAATGATATTGAAGACTGTGAATTCTTTTGACTTGTTTCAATAATGTAATAAGAATCTTCAGTTATACTTAACTTAACCCATGCACCCTCAGCAATAGGATTTGGTCCGTATAAGAATGCAGTTTTCTTTACAACATTTAGTTGGTGTTCATTTGCTAATATTTTTATTTCTGGATTAGTTAATGATAATTCTTTTGGATATGCTGTAATGTAATCAATACATGAGTGAGTTGGTTCATTCGTTTGACATTCAAGAAATCCTTTTGCGTAGTGAGTTTTGAAATTACATGAATGGCAATCAGATGCAAATCCTAAGTTTGTGTCACAAGAACCACATTGATTCGGAGCAGTACATCCAGTTAAACATCCTTTAATATCACACTTTGGAAGACAAGTGTTATTCCCTGCTGAATAATAACCAGTGTCACACAAACAATTAGTACAATGTGCTACAGAGTCACACTCTTCATTTAATTCAAGAACAATTCCATCTCCACATGTACTATGAAACAGAGGCCATTCTTGTTTTTGGGCTTCACACAGAAATAAGTCAGATAGAAAACACAATAACAAAAGGAACATTGACTTAATTAATTCAGTTTTTTTCATGTTTTTCTGAGGAGGAAGAGATAAGAAAAGTATGGAGAAAAATATAGAATTTTATTTTTATTTTTAATTGCTTCAACTAAAGCATAATTTCCTTATAATATCAAAACTAGTTTATTTTAAGTAGAAGTTTGTAGAAGCATTATCTTTTAATTTAACTCTCTCTAAGTTACCTGGTAAAAAAAATCAAAGTACTTCTAATTTAAGAAATTTCTATGAATATTTATATATATAAAAATTATTATTGATAAAAATTTATTATAAATAAAGCTATATTTATTATAATATTTTATTATTATTTATCAATCATTTTCTTGTTTTTTATGATTTTTTAGTTCTTTATTGGAGGTCTCTCTTACTATTTTTAAATCATTCATTTTTATTTGCATATTTATTGTTATTAGGATTTGAATATTGTTTAAATATAAATTTTAATAATCAATAAAAGTAAATGTTTTCATTTTCGTATTAGATTCTTACTTTTATTTATTCAAAACAAACAAAATAGTAAAAGAAATAAGCATAATTAATTATTTTGCTGATTCATCATCAATAATCATTTTATTGTTACATCTACTATCGTGTTTTATGCTAGTTTATTTCTGTTATTTGTTCTGTGTTTACTTAATTGTCTAAGATATTCATTGGTTGGTGTTGATTGAATTGATATTTTTATTATTTGACCTATTGTACTATAATAATTATTATTGTTTGATATTTCCTTAATACTAAAAACATCTTTTGTTTTGAATATAAATTCAAAAGTATGACAAAATGAGAATCAATATATGAATATTTTCAATATTTTATTACATTTTGATATAAAAATTCTCTTCAAGAATGAATTGATATCAATTCATTATTAATGATATTATATGCCTCATTATTTAAATTTACAAATTTATTATATAATTCATATGAGTATTAAATTTGATATGGTTTATTTGTTAATAATTCTTCTGATATATAACTTAATGAAATATCAAATAAAATAATATATATAGAATATTTGAAGATAATACATTATAAATAATTTTAAACGAACAATGAATCATGAAATTCAATTAATTAATATTAATTTAATATTATTTTGTTATTTGTTAGTGCATTATGAAATCAAATTTTCATTTTGATTAATGGGTTAAAAACAGTTAAAATAAATTTAAGTTTTGTTTTACAATAATCAATGAACAAGTATTAATTAATACTTTGTAATATACATACTTTTTTATTTACTATATTTATGACTATTTTTTGATTTGGTTTTCATTATTAAATTATTTATAACAGAATATAGCTTTACCAATTTATTCATGGTAAATTAGAAGATAAATAATACAAGTAAATTCTTAACTTGATCATAGCTTTGAATAATATTAATTACAATATAAATTTAAATAACTCAATAACAACTCATCATGGATGTATTATTTAATATTCATTGGGTACGAAAATTAGCAAAGAAAAAATGCATCTAAATAATTTACAAAAAAGAAAAAAGATGCAAAATAATTTGCATCCATAGAATTTTCCATTTATTATATTTTGCCCCTAAAAAAAAATAAATAAAAAAATATGATAAATACAGAATATATATTTATTTTTATATTTTATGATCATTTGTAGTCATTTTGTATGAACTACTAATGAAATAGATAATTTTATGAATCATATTTAATTATTTTTATAATTTTTATTATTTATATGTTATTTATCTATCGTATTTTTATATATTTATTTCTATCATCTGTTTATCTATATATTACTTCTATCATCTGTTTATCTATATATTATTATATTATTCTTAGTTTATTATTTTTATGTTTATATTATTATTATTTTCTTATTTATATTCTT